TAGCTGTCCATGTCAGATAGAGATACATATCCTATGTGGAACCATTATGTTCAATGTATGTACCAATTAAGTTAACAATAGCTGTCCATGTAAGATAGAGATACATATCCTATGTGGAACCATTATGTTCAATGTATGTACCAATTAAGTACAATAGCTGTCCATGTAGATAGAGATACATATCCTATGTGTGGAACCATTATGTTCAATGTATGTACCAATTAAGTTACAATAGCTGTCCATGTCAGATAGAGATACATATCCTATGTGGAACCATTATGTTCAATGTATGTACCAATTAAGTTACAATAGCTGTCTATGTAATTCACATCCTAATGACGTCAATGCTACATTTTGATTCAATTTTAACATTAAGATGACAGCCATCTTGAATCTGATCATCAAACAAATACTTGTCCATATGTACGACATGATGTGTATACAAAGTTTGAACATGATTGGTCAAGGCATGTCAAATATATGGCTCTGGAACTGCATTCATTAAAACAAAATAGCCACTATCAAGGTCTAAATATGTCCAATGTACAAATATACCAAATCTGTAACAATGACAGTTACTTATTGTAAATAATACACGACCATATAACTTATTTTTTTTCTCGTATCCTAGGCTCCCAAATCAAGCAGTGAATTTTATCAGAATAATGTACAAAGCAAAAAGAATGCCCCAGCTAGTAGTTACAAGAAAATAGCGGCTGAAATGGGACAGCCTGAATTTAATTTGATCCACTCACTCTTGAATATTTTACAAAGTCCGGTAAGTTATTTTTTGATTAAATTGTTACCAGTTTTGTCTTGTATCCTCGGGGGCGGACATCCGGGCATTTTCTACCGCCTGGCAACCCTCGCGGTGAAAACAAAGACCAAAAACTCGCAGAAAACGGTACTTTGCGATGGTTGTTGAGAGTCCCCTGAACAGTGTAACAAGATTAGCCCTACGTGTGTAACATATATGAATTTGGTTGTTTCAGGATTACTTCAAAGTTGAGTTTGTGTTGTTTTCTCGAGTTTTCACCGGCTCCACCGGCATTCCATAGCAGCGCGCACAAAGCCCATAGATATACGTGGTACAGTGGTGCGCGTCTTAGCAACGTAGAACGTCCGTGACGTAGCTCCGCCCCCGAGGATATCGAAACTGTTGTGGTCTATTTTTTTGCCACTAGAGGGCACTCTACTAGTTCAATTTATTGAAGCACTGTAAACAAAGTTTACATATTTTATTATTGATTTTTATAAATATGAAATTCCAAAAAAAAATGTTATTTCTCTAAAATTTTGATCAACTGAACCATAAAATCTAATAAAACATTATAATAATATATTTTCCTGCCACGAGAGGGCGCAATTAAAGTTTGTTATAGTGAAGACTTTCAAATAAAATTGATGACTATTGATTTGTTGAAGATACAAGAGTTTCTGTAAAAGCCTGTGAAGGGTTGATGCTTGTGACTAGTCTACAAGAACCAAATGCT